TCAATTGAGTTTCTATTCTTTTATATTTTACTTCTTCTTTGAGAAATTTGAGTTGTTTAGTTAATCGATTAATAGATTGGAATATAGAATATTCTTTTAATTGATTTAATTCTTTGATTTCAAGAGGAGACAATAATTTAAAAGTTGCTGTTTGACCAAATGCTTGTGTGGTTATGCCATGGTTAGTAGTGGTAAATGGATATAGTAAAAAGATAAACGGAGTTCTTAAGATGACTTTGTTGGTCATATTTCTGACTAGAACAAAGGATGTTTTAAAACAAATATTATTTTGACAAATATATACTTTGGGTAATTTATATTTAATATGCATTTGACTTCCATTAGCGGAACTTAATTGTTCACTAGTTTTATGATAATATTTTGTGGGAATTAAACCTTCTTGAATACAATTTAAATCAGCGTCGGTATCAATGAGGTCTATGACTTCTATTTTAAAGTCATTAATAACTAGTTTGACTTTTGAATGTCATTTTTGAATATGAATTCTATTAATAATATTTAAATGATGACTATCATTGTGATTACCACTATTAGATTTAGTTGATCAATTGTCAAAGAGGACATGGCTAGGATTTGGACTAGAACTAGATTCATCAGTGGAAGTATCATTATTATTTTGGAAATCATTAAGATTTTTATTGATTTTTAATATTATAATTTCTTCTTCTAATGATTTGCCTATAGCCTTTAACTCTTGACTGGTTAGTTTAATTTGGTTAATCTCATTTTGTAAATCTTGTAAAGTGGTTTCTTTATATTTATTTTTTTAGAATCTTTCTAAAGTAGTTGTGAGACTAATAATTGGTTTATCTTGATGATATTTTTTTTCTTTATTTATTAGTAAATATTTTAATTTATTAGTATATTTTCTTTTTAATTCAGGATTTTCTAATTTTCTAATTAATTCTATTAAATAATCTTCTTGTTGTTGTGATTTAGTAAGAACATTAATTTGTTTACAGTAAGTATCATTACATCCTAATTTAATCTCTCCGTCGGTATTCTCACTAAGAGAGTAATAAGTAGAAGTATCACTTAAGGGAGTGGTGTCACTGGATGATGGACTAGAATAAACAGGAGATTTATTTGGGGTATTAGTTATTTTAAATATGTCGAATATTTGACTTTGATGTTCTTCAGTAATTTATAGTTGATTAAGCTTATTCTTAAGTTTTTCTTCAAGTCTACATTTATTAGAATAATGACCATTTTTTCCACAATTGTAACAAGTAACATCTTGGGTAGATTTTGACTTCTTTTTAAAGTGATTAGTTTGTTTGTGATATGTCTTTTTTGGTTTAGCATAATACTTATCAGGTGATTTGGTAGGTGAATATTTCTTCCTATATTTAGTAGAGTATTTGTGTGAAGATCTCTTGTTATTTGTTTGCGTCGTGATAGTGCAACAGAAGGTAGACCGTATTGTTCGCAGAAATTTCCTATTCCATATTTAGCTTTATGTTTATCTTTAGCAGATTTTTGACGAAGTTTCAGATTTATACACATTTTTAATCCTTCTTTTTAAATTGTACTAATGATTCATTATAAGTTAAATTATCATATTCTATAATACCAGTAGGTTGGCTAAGAACATCTCTAATCTTATGGGCAAAAAGACTCGGTAATCCATTGATAAATTTCTCTTCCCAAAATAACTTAATGTAATCCTCTCTAAGCATGACACGAGAGGTAAAGACATCTTTATATCAACGAAAACCACTTAAAGTAGGGCAAGTGAGATTACTAAGTTGATCATAGATGCGAGAATGTATATTAGCAGGTGTTCCAATAAAATGTATGACTATAGTAAATATTAAAGTATTAAAACCATCAGGTTTACTTTATCCTATATCTTCATCAAAGATTGGGAAATCATTTTCATCTAATTGTTGAGCATGTTGAATATTTTTACGTGTATCAGAAGTTAGGTATTTATCCCACTAAGATTTGAGCATACCGGTAAATCCGTAGGTAAGTAGAGAGACTATTTCAGGTTAAGTGTAATCAGGATAATTATTAAGGTATTTATCCACTTTGCTTATAAAAGAAACTCCTCAGTCAAGGCCAATTTAGAGTTGGAAAGAGTTCAAAATTTTCTTTCTCAGTTTCTGTAAATTTTATAGTTTGTTGTTTTAAAATTCAGTTTTTAAAGATGCATGTAGAAGCTGTATTTTCCAGTTAGTTCCAGTAAACAATTTTGTATTTTCCGATTACTTCCAGTAAACGATTGTAAGTTAATTTAAACGATTATAAGTTTATTTTATTTCTGCTTATCTGTTCTTATTTAAAATATTCTATCTATTTTAATTCAGCTTATTTACTTTAGTTTATATATTTGCTTTCGTTTATTTACTATTTACTTTCGTTTATCTGTTCTTATTTTCTTTTTGCTACTTCTGCCTCTTTTTGGTTTGGTAAAAAAAAAAAAATAGAAAAAAAATTAAAATTTTGATTTTTTTTATATAATTTGTTGAATTTTTAAATTTTGCAATGACTTTTTAATTTTTATATTAAAATTCAATTATTTTCTAAAATCAATTCTATCAAATAAAAAATTCTAATAAAAGGGTATTTGTAATTTTTTAAACCAGAAGAAATAAATCATAAATTTGAAGTACATTTTTAATTTATCTTATTTATTATTAGATATTTGAATTATAAATTAAATAATATTATACAAATTAACAAATTTTATAAATATTTTTCATTTATAGATATGACACTTAGGGGTTGTTTGGCATCTATAATAATTAGTACACTTTTTTTTTTTTTTATCTTTTTTTGGATCATATCTTTCTATTTTTTTAATACATCTTTTTATAAAAATTCAAAAATTACACTTATTTTGAGCAACCAAACAACCCTTAGAGCATCCACAATATATGTGTTAAAAATGTGTGTTAAAGTGTGTTATATGACAAAAAGTAATAATAGTGGGACCCAAAAATGTGTGTTAAGAGTTTGTTAATTTAGTAAGTGAATGGTGATATAATAGATATGTTAAAGTGTGTGTTAAGGGATATGTTAAACAAAATATATATATATATATATATAGTTTGCAGTTTGCAGTAGCTGGTGTGGAGACAATCGAATGTCTGGCCAGTCAACCAGTCAGACCCAATTTTATTTTTTATTTTTTTATTATTATTTGAAGGGTCCAGACGTTCAGGGAGACAATCGGCCGGACATCTGGACGAATGACCCACGACACTTCCCTCTTTCTTCTTCGCTGACTAGAACGCTAGTTGCAGTTAACAAACATTTTATCATCGGACACTAACATTGCCCTTAGCAGCTCCATTGCAACACCAAACAACACACTTGGCTGGCCAAAACTTTGCATCTGACATTAAATCATCCTTAGTGTGTTCATTGTGATGCTCTTATTATATTATTATTGGAATGACTTTTGTTTCAGTTTTAAAAGTCTCATTATTACATAATACACATCTAGTGGTAGGATGGGTGGAGGCACGATTAGGGATGATAATTTTAATTCAATCCGTGAGATTTGTTTATATTTGTTTGAATGAGACAGATTTTACCTATTCTGACACTTATGTAGGGTGGGACTAGATTATGTTTTGGTCACATGCAACGGGGGTAGGGGTAGGGGGTAGGGGTAAGGGGCGAGGGCGGGGACGGGGGCAGGAGCGGGTATCGCTTCTCCCATTTCAAATCTAACTCAATATAATTAATATATATAATAATATATATATATATATATATAAATTAGATATAAGAAAATAATATTAAATTCTATGATTTTGTTTAAATATAAATAAATAATAATCTTAAAAATCTCATTGTTTATATATATGAAAATAAAAAAAAAATTATTTAGTATGTTAAGAATTTAAATGGCTCTTAAGTTTTTTGACTATTTGAAATATGGTCGGATATTCACGAGTATCAGGTATCCGTAAGGGTAGGGATAGGATTGAAAAATTCCATTTGTAACGGGGGTGGAACGGGGTTAAGAAATGGCAAATCCGCTCCAAATTCACCTATAACCATCGCTAAGCATGAAACCCCATTTTAAAAAAAAAAAATTTGATTTATTTTAATTTAATTGAAAAAGATATTAAAAAAAATATACTATTAATGAAATAACATTCACCATTTCAAGTAAATGATTATTTCATAAAAATGCTTATTGAATAACAAATCTTATTTTATTTTTATTTCAATGAATCAAACACAAGGTGTTTTGGAAACACAGTTATAAGCTATTTTTTTTTACTTTTAACTTATTTTGAGTCACATCATCTCTCACATTTAATATATATATATATATATATATATTTAAATATTCAAAAAATTGAAAATTTAACTTTTAACCATTTTCCTAAAACATCCCAAAATCTCCAGGTATTTCTCATTTAGGCCTCGTTTGTGAACAAACTTTTTTAGTAATTTTTTGAATTTTTAGCTAAAATACGATGTACAAAAACTAGTATTTTTTGGAATAAATTTTTTAATTTTTTACGAAAATATGTACAAAAAATAAAAAGAAAAGAAAATATTTGATTTTTTTATATAAGTTGTTGACTTCTTAATTTTTTTAATAATTTTTTAACTTTTTAACTAAAATCACTACTTATCAAATGAGATCTTACTCTATTTAAAATTCAAATATCATGATTTAAAAATATGAATTGAATTTTTTCAAATTTAATATAAACTTGAGCGACTGAGGAAATAGTGAGACTTACGGCGAGTTGCATTTTAATGATTTAAATTATTTTATTATGTAAACCGAATCTTGGCGGCCCCACTTTTCCGCGCGCGCTCTCTCTCTCTCTCTCACAGTCCCACTAACTCCGTCCGTCGTACTCGTCCAGGTTAAAGCGACTGTCACGTTTCTTGTTCGCTCACAAATCCTCATTCTCTCTACAAACGAATTCACGTTTCTCTCTCTCTCTCTCTCTCTCTCTCTCTCTAAACCGCCCTGCAAAACAAGAAATCACTGAAATCAAATGGAGGTCACAGTGACGAAATGCGAGGAGCAGGACTGTGACTGTGACCTCCACTACTACTACGATGCCTACACAGTGTTCGTCGGAGAGCATCGCATCCTCACCATCTCCACCGCCAACTACATCACCACCACCAGATGGATCAAGGAAGTCCAGAAGACCTACCGCCACAAGCACGGACCTCTCATTGTCGGCGTCTGCGTCGACCGCCAAAGCCTCAATTTCACAAGCAATGGCCTCGAAGACTCTCCCTACGATCTCCTCCAACTCTGCATTGGCTCTCACTGCCTCATTTACCGCTTCTCCGACCCTTACTGTTACCGTATCCCCAAATCTCTCCAAGAGTTCTTCGATGATCGTCGAGTCATCGCCGTTGGTATGGACATGGTCTCTGTTGCGAAGAAGCTCGAAAGGAACCACGAAATCAAGGTTGCGAATCCGATGGATTTGAATTCTATGGCGGTGAAGGGGCTGAGAAGAGACGATCTGGATCTACTGCACTACGGTCTCAATCGACTGGCCAGGGTCGTGTTAGGGAAGCACGTTTACGTCTTTAGGCCTTGCCGATACAAGGTGGAGTGGTTCCAGAAGTACGACGGGGGCAATTACAACTGGTACAATCCTCACCTTTCTCATGAAAAGGTGAAATTCGCAACGTCCGAGCCCTACCTTTGTTATCTGATCGGATCTAAGCTTCTTGGTATGATGAACTGTTCATCTTCGGCTTCTTCTTCATCCTCGAAGAAGAAGACAAAGAAGAAGAACAGCAAGAAGAAGAAATAGCAGATAGACGTACGATCCAAAAATTGAGTGCACATGTGTCTCTTCTTTTAGAGTAAATTTTCCAGTAGACTTAGGGTTTACTAAAGCTTGGTGATATGCGTTATATCTTTAGTCAGAGAACTTTCTCTTTTTAGAGTACTCTACTCTCTGTTGAATAATGAAACTTGGGGTTTAAGACGAGTTTTGTGAAGCTTTGATTGAATTTGGATGATAAACTTGTAAGATGATCTTGCTTATTCGTTAGTCATTACATGATCAAATGAAGATTAGTTTTCCTAATTTTGTTTTTAATAGTCTCATAGTAATTGTTCCTCAATGTATAGCTGAATGAGTTGATCAATAAATAATAATATCTCCTGGATATATATGCTTTAATGAAGCCAAGATGCAGACGTCCCCCAAACGTCTTGGGAGGGTTTCATTTGGGGTCACTACAGCTCAGGACTCTAAAATTGTCACGGTTCTAAATCTGAACCAAATAGTCCAAATCCGGCAAATCGTTTTGAGAAAAACAGATTTTTAGAAAAGAAGTGCCAAACATGAACTGCTTTGCCAGATACAGAGTCGCCACCTAAATATTTTATTTTGGGAAAATTTAGGAAACCCTGACTCGTTTGCCTAAGGCCACGTGTCCGTCATCACCAAAGTTGCCTCGGCTCGGGAACTTGGGTACGATTGGGGAAGGTCACTTCGTGAGCACCCCCGCTCGCCCGATCAAAGATCGGCCTCTACTAACCATGATATTTTTGAAAACATTATGCGTTCTTATTCGGTTATTAGCCTAGGATTTACTATGTGATGCGCACAGCATACAATATCATAGACCTGGGTCGCCTTGAATTGGAACAAAACATTTCATGTTTGTTTGTTTGAAAATGGTTTGATGGTGCTACTCGCAAGTAGGCTAAAACGTGGATTTGCCACCCTCAGGTGGGCTTAGAAAATATGATTTTGCCACTATCTAGTGGGCTTAAAACATACATTCGATGAATTGTTTCAATCCAAATAACCCAACCTTCATCCACAGGCATTCATGCAGTTTATATCACATAAGCACATAGCCTCATGGTAAGCATGCTTCATGGCAGTCACTCACACGCATGCAAGGATGCTAAAGCATAAAACTCACCGAGTACTCCAAGCCAAAACAGAAGCTTGGTTAGAAACCATGCATGATCCTAAATATACAGAAATGCAATGCAACACATGCAAAATGCAACTATAGCAGGCTCGGCTATTCTAAACATGGCATATGAGATGCAACAGCTAACAAGTACTCAACTTGAAAATGCAACTATAGAAGGCTCGGCTATTCTAAAGATGGCATGCAAAATGCTACAACTAACAAGTATTCAACTTGGAATTGAAATATAATGTAGTTAGTATGATGCGCCGAGCCCGGTGCATGTAATACAGATGAATGAATGCAAACATGCTATCATACTGTATGCTAATTGAAACATGCCCTAATCTAACCATCATAAGCAGGTAAATAAAAGGGAAGAAAGACGTGGGGTTGGAAGACATACATCACACTCACCCACACTTATTACAGTATTGCCCTCGCGCAGAGGGTCCGAAAGAATAATACAGTCCTGAATGAATAAATAATACAGTCCCGAATAAATACAAAAATCCTAATTAATTTACAAATTAATCTAAGAAAGCTACAAACTGGCATGCAAGCCGGGGACCGCCTCGACTCTGATGAATGATGTATGTTTGGGCTGCTTTGTGCAAAAATCCATTGGGATGTCCCAATTAGCCTCTGTTTTGCAATTATTCTTGGAAAGCGCGCCAAGCTCCAGAAGGTTGCTAATTCTTGATTTGCTGCAACAGAGAGCAGGAAAGGGGCATAGCAATGTATTTTCACAAATGTATGCATGTCTCGATCCTCGTGCAACCAATCACGCATCTTGATGCATGATGGCCAAGGAGTCGAATTGCACAACTCACTATGGAATGAATGCACATGAAAACACAATGAAACCTAGACTCCATCATGGATAATCCGAAGTGTCGGTGACTGGGAATTGAGACACGTTCCGTCACTCGAAGTACGAAACGTACCTCGTTTCCCGTGCTCGGACTAACTCCTACCCCAAGCACAATGCAATATGCATGAGATGCATGAATGCAACTAATATACAACTTAGCATGTACAATGCTATGAAATGGTATACACGATGCACGAGGTAACATAGCATACACAATGCGCTAACATACAACCTAGCACACGCAATGCTATGAAATGAGATGGCATACACAATGCAAAATGGACTTATACCAACATGAGTGTACCTCAGCCACACTCACATAAGAGGCCATGAGATGAAAATGAGACAACTCAAGATGCGTGCACGCATGCACGCAAACCGAGGACCGACCCTAAGGCACAAAATGCCACTCTAACAAGACATGGCAAGGCATGAAATATGATATGCTAGCATGCAAATTTCAGAACTGAAATGCGACACAAAACAGCCCCGAATCATGACAATATAGTACTCGATGCATGAAATGGTCCCGAAATGCAAGATTAAGCACATGAAATGACTTGTAGCTACATCAAGCATGTATTATTTGCTCATGACATGTGAAGACAGATTCAAGGAAGCCCAAAACAAGCATGTTTGCAGTTCTAAGCAAGGCCAAACAGCAAACACAAATAGGGCAAAACTAGCATGCAAAAACGGCCCTAAATGTGAGATAAAGAAGTGAGTCACAGCTGCAGACCTCAAAAAGATTAGGGCCCTTCAACAATGTTGGAGACGGGCTCAAAATATGATATTTTACAGTTTATAACAAACCCCAAAAACCAGTACAGGTATGGCTAAGATCTCATGCAAGAAAAGGGCCAAAAGATGGACAAAGAAGCAAGTAGTGGTTGCTGGCCTCAAACACAAAGGGGCCCTTCAACAATGTTGAAGACGGGCCAAAAATAATGCGCAGTTGATGGCCGGACTCAAAACAGTATGCATGCAAGCCTAAAATACTACTCAAAATAAGGCCCAAAAGAGAGATATAACTCAAAGTATATAAAGGATGCCTCAAACAGTGAAAAACCCTTAATGAAACATGAAGAGGGGGTCAAAATAAGGTCATTTGTAGTTCGGACCAGGACCCAAAAACAGAAGCAAAAGAGGCTAACAAATCATGCAAAAATGGAGCTAAAAAAGGGATATAAAGGCAAGTGGAAGATAGAAGCCTCAAACAGCAATGAGCCCTTCAACAATGTTGAAGAAAGACTCAAAATAAAATACTTTTCAGTTCATTACAGAGCTCAAAACAGTTTATACATAGGCCAAAAATACTACACAAGAAGATGGCATACAAGGGAGATAATGAAGCAAGTGCAACAAGGAGGCCTCAAAAAGTGAGAGGCCCTTAAACAAAAGTGAAAAGGACCTCAAAATAAGCCTAGTTACAGTTAGGGTCGGAGCCCAAAATAGCAAGCAAATAAGGCTTAGAAAGGATGCAAAATATGGACCAAAAAGAGGGAAATAGAGCTTACCCTTGTAGACTAAACTTTGGCACCCTTTTGGCTTGAGATGTAGCACTCCTAGGCCTTGAAGAACAACCTCCAGCTGCTGGAATGAAGGATGGAAGGGTGGGGCTATGGGTTGGTGAAGAAATGGTGTAGGGTTTGAGAGGTTTGAAGCTTGGAAGAGAGGGAGATGGAGGTGTATGTATGCAAAGCTCTTAGGGCAATTTTGTTAACCCTAATAACAGAGCTGGAGCCCCTGTTATATAGGCAAAAAGGGGGGAAAAAATGGTGGAAAAAATGGAGGGAAAACCAACCAAGTTTCCCTTCAAAAAGCAGCCCCCCGGATACAGAATTTGGGGGGAAAACAAATGCATATTTGCACTGTAGATGATGTAAGGATTTTGGCCGGCCAGTTATCTAGGTTGCAGGTGGTCGACCGGCTACCTCCCATGGCCGGCCGGCCAAGGGTCAAAAGGGTCAAGTGTGATTAATGGCCGGCCACCACAGAAAGAGAGCCTCTGATGTGTGCACAACACAACCCTGTGGTTAAACACTGAAAAAAGTGAACCTGGAGAGAGAACAACCCACGTCAAGGAGGGGTTCAAAAGGGTCAGAAAGGGTTACTGGCCGGCCACCAAATATTGGTGGCCTCCCAGATGCGTACATCACAAATATGGGGTTTAGGGTTCAAGAAAATGGCCCAAGGGTGTTCAACATTGGCTTTGAAGTGAGGAAAATCGGGCGACGGAGGGCGATGAAGGGATAAAGTTGGCTGACAGAATAATTACTGGCCTCCCACCCTTCTACGGCCTTCTTACCAATGAAACAGAGGTCCCTGCCAAAAATGAACCAAAACCGATGCAAAATGAGGGTTCGGGGGCCGAAACGCGCAGTTCGGGGCCCCGAAAACTGGCTGTTAGGCACCGGGAGTGGTGTTTGACCACAAAGTTGGCTTCCCGGGCCACAGTGTCCCTCAAAAGGGAGCAAATAAGATGTATGCCAAAAGCCGGAGCAAACGGAGATAGTTAAGTGGTCCCGAACCGAGGCACACGGCCAACAATTCCGAAAAACCGGAAACCGGACTCCAAACGGGCAAAAATGGCCTACGACCACAAAACGTAGCCTACGGCCACTGAGAGATGGTCTACGAGACCTCTCCCTCCCTTCGCGAAGAGAAAACAGAGAAAACCGAGCTTGGTTCGCAAACTGAGGCAAAGCACAAAAGAGTCCGGAAGTCCGGAGACAAGGCTCGCAGCCGAGACTCCGAAACCTCTGAACGAGCACGATATGCAACATCACCAAGCACTCAATCGGTGACGTCTGAGTCTTAAGGTCGGTCAAAAATGGGGTGTCTACAGTTGCCCCTCTTTGACAGAACTCGAAAGTCATAAGTGACGGGAGTGAATGTCAAAGCCCAGAGACGACCCATTTTTGACAAGGCCGAAGACTTAGACAAACAGGCGAGATAAACAGAGATATGCCCGTAGGCATGCCCGCAGGCAGGGGCAAAATG